ATTGGAAATACATGGTGGAGGTAGCACCATTCCAAAAGACGAACTGCCAGAAACAGGAGTGAAAGGGAGTGCGTACCGCCTTCTTGTTCACATAGTACATAGCTGTTGTGTTGTCTGTTGCAAGTTGGACAGCTCAACCTGAGATCAAAGATTGAAAGGCTCTGATAATTGCTAAGAGTTCTTGCTGGCTGATGTGTAACGATTGTTCTTTCTCTGACCACAGGACATGGATTCTATGGTCTTGGCAGTGTGCTCCCCATCCTAGAGGACTGGCGTCGGTAGTAACCTGGATAGTGAGCTGGAGAGGTGCAAAACGTCGGCCAATGAGGAGGTTCAGGACAAAGGTCCACCAGGTAAGTTGTTGTGCAAGTTCTGGAGTTACCTTGAGACGTTTTGACGGATGTTTGATGAGTGGGTTGAAAACAGAGAGGTACCATGATTGAAGAGAGCACATTTTGAGTCTGGAATGTTGACTCACAGAAGTAGTGGAGGCCATGAGACCTAGTAGATGTTGAACCTGGTCTGCAGAAGCCAAAGTGTGGGGTTGGAAGTGTCAAACTGCTAATTTTAACTTTTTTAGTTGGTCTGCAGGAAGGAAGGCTCAGGCTTTGGTGGAATCGAGGTAGGCACCAATGTATTTGGCTGTTTGTGAAGGTTCAAGATGAGACTTGGAGAAGTTGACTTTGAGACTGAGGCGCTATAAGGTATCGAGAGTGATATGAGTAGTGTCAATAGCAGCTTGGTAAGAGTGGGAGACGATGAGACAGTCGTTGATGTAAGGGAATATGGTAATTCCCTGTAGACAAAGATATGCTGCAACTGGTGCTATGCATTTCGTAAAAGTTCTCGATGCTGTGGATAAACTGAATGGGAGTGAACAGAATTGGTAGGTGACGCCGTTGAAATGGAAATGAAGGTATCTGTGATGTCTTGGATAAATGAAAATGTGGAACTAGGCATCCTCGAGCTCAATGAGAACCAACCAGTCTCCCTGTGAAAGGAGGGAAACAGTGTCCAGTGTGATCATTCGAAATTGTTTGGGTTGGATGAAATTATTTAGGTGTCTAAGATCAAGAATAGGACGGAATCCTCCGTCTTCCTTGGGTACTGTAAAATAACATGAGTAGAAACTGTTATTAAGGTCCTCCGTTGGGACAGGAATGATAGCATGTTTGCGTACAAGAAGGGAAACTTCTTCCAGGGCTGAAGAGTAGGAGGTATATTTAATTTGACCAAGAGGGGGTATATGGTGGAATTCTATATAATAGCCATGTTCGACTATAGATAGGACCCAATGGTCATTAGTGATAAGAATCCAACATTGGAGAAAAGGGTATAGATGAGTTTGGGTAAATGTTGGATGTGTAAGGGCCAAATTTAGAAAATCATGGGTATTGCTTACCCCTCCTTTGATTGCATCGAAAGGGTGTCAACGTTGATACTGGGCTTGAGCTCCAAAGGGTAGAGCGGTGGAAGTAGTCTAATTCGGAAATGGTTGTTCAGTCATCAGAGGTTTGTAAAACTTGTACTGTTGCTTATATGTTTGATAAGGCTGTTGGACGAATTGTTGTCTGCACCACTGAGGTCTTTGGACTCGATAAGGTTGTTGAGTTGAATAAGCGCAAGGAGTTTTCCCGATTTTATTGAAATTATCCATGACCTCATCTGTCTTTTGGCTGAAAAGGTCAGCACCATCAAATGGTGAATCTTCAATCGAGATCTGGTATCATCAGAGATCTGAGCCAAGCATGGCGTCGAAGCGCAATTGATGTGGCCGTGGCTTTGGAAGCAGCATCAGCAGTGTGTTGGGATGCAATTCTTTGTTGTTTAGCAAGCGTAGAAG